AAATAAATATGATCATTCATCGAGAGCCGAGATACAATTACTTTCAAAATAAAATAGAAGGCCTTGATACCAACTTGACGTTTCTTAGGAGATAGTGGGTCAAAGTTATGTGTTATACTGTTGTTATCGTTATTACTACCATCTTTTTTTGTGAAAGTCAAGTCAAAAGTTTCTTTTTGAGTTTGTTACTCATTGCACAATCGGAAGTGGCCTTCACGACGATGCAGCATCGCATCATGCACGCAATGCAAATGATTGCCAAGTTATTTTGAACACGTACATCGAACTTTTGTCATTTAGTTTTCGTGTTCTTACCGGAATTAGAGGCTTCTTGACGATGGAACGTGCCCCCGTGAACAATCCCCAAGTTTCAACCACTTTTTCCGATCAGAAACGTCAAAAACTGAAGTTTAACTAACAACGGTGCTTATGCTTCGAAAATCTGGCATTTTTTTGACGCCAGTAAAAAAATTATAAACGTTCCGTTTCTGCTGATAAAACAGCGTAAACTGTCGAAGAACGTTTCTTTGAAACAGAAAGTATTAAACGCAACGCAATACATAATCACGACTCGTGTGCATCTATCTTGCTACACCTTATTCGTGATCACTTCTCGAAGATGCTCCTATTCCAGATACCATAAAAATCTCAAACAAGTTCAGGATTGCAATTTTCAAATCCTAAGAAAGTATGTAGGTTGACTGTATAATCTGTTGCTTCATTTTCGTTGCAAAAATTCGCCGTATACGGCTGGCGTTATCTAAACACGTTTTGCGCTGAAGATGGTAGGATATGTGTTGACGTTACTTGGAATCTGGTTTATGGTTTCACAAACAAACACGACTAGAATGTTCCCACATTATATATTAGGAGAAGTCAGATGCTGGCTTCCTTATAACCGCCAGAAATTGGTTCAAGTTTAAAATGACGATGTATTTAAAAAAAAGCAGGGGACGATAATGTATAATAATAAACAATTTATTTCCCATCAGTGCAGTTACCATTTAGAGAGCAGTACATAGTACAATGATTTGAGTTACACAGTCATAAAGTGGAACAAAAAAATACAAAAAGGCACTCTGCAGTCTGTCTCTCGTCGATTTCGGCCTTCTTGGAACCACGCTCGACAACATCTCATTACAGTAGATAATGCAATGAAACAACAATGAAACCAACACAGAAAAATCACTGAATATTAAGTAAATACGTTCATATTGTTCGGATCCTGATATGTCAAAAAAAGCCTTTACAAAGTACGGCTCCGATTGCCTTCAACATTTTATCAGCGATAGCAAACAAGTTTTTATCAACATTCAATAAATAATTCTGGGTGTTGCATTTTATACGTCACTTAGTATATTTACTAAATAATCTTTTTGTGACTTACCTGTTCTCAAAATATCCCAAATATTCAAAACCTCTTAAGCATTTCCAGAGTGTTCAAGATTTTTAATAGACGGAATATTTCTTGATCTGTTAACGATTTTGAAGACCCTCTTTAATCGAATAGACACATAAAAATCTTATAATTTGGAAATCAAAAATATATTTAAGCAAGTCCGAGTTTATGTACGCGAGGTTGAAAAATGTTCAAGTATTGAAAATTAAAAAAAAATTATTGTGAAACGTGGATAATCACTTGGATCATCTTTATAGCAAATTCTTCTAAATATCGCGAAATAATAGGTACTAAAGATGGATACAGTTTATTCACTGAATCAAGGCAGGTACGACACAACATCAAATAATGACAGTGACGCACATGGTTGCCACATTGATTAAAACTACTGGATCCTAGGACGTTTTAGAAAATCTAACTTATATCTTCGATGCCGTACCGCAACCGTCGTTGCGGAGCGTATGTTTTGTAAATGGTGGAGCTAGTATAAAAAAATATTTATTGAAAACGTGGATAATCACTTGGATCATCTTTATAGCAAATTCTTCTAAATATCGCGAAATAATAGGTACTAAAGATGGATACAGTTTATTCACTGAATCAAAGCAGGTACGTCACAACATCAAATAATGACAGTGATGCACATGGTTGCCACATTAATTAAAACTACTGGATCCTAGGACGTTTTAGAAAATCTAACTTATATCTTCGATGCCGTACCGCAACCAAAATTACGGAGCGTATGTTTCATAAACGGTGGAGCTAGTATAAAAAAATTTTATTGAAAACGTGGATAATCACTTGGATCATCTTTATAGCAAATTCTTCTAAATATCGCGAAATAATAGGTACTAAAGATGGATACAGTCTATTCACTGAATCAAAGCAGTTACGTCACAACATCAAATAATGACAGTGACGCACATGGTTGCCACATTAATTAAAACTACTTGATCTTAGGACTTTTTAGAAAATCTAACTTATATCTTCGATGCAGTATCGCAACCAACATTATGGAGCGTATGTTTTGTAAACGGTGGAGCTAGTATGAAAAAATATTTATTGAAAACGTGGATAATCACTTGGATCATCTTTATAGCAAATTCTTCTAAATATCGCGAAATAATAAGTACTAAAGATGGATACAGTTTATTCACTGAATCAAAGCAGGTACGTCACAACATCAAATAATGACAGTGATGCACATGGTTGCCACATTAATTAAAACTACTTGATCCTAGGACGTTTTAGAAAATCTAACTTATATCTTCGATGCCGTACCGCAACCAACATTACGGAGCGTATGTTTTGTAAACGGTGGAGTTAGTATAAAAAAATATTTATTGAAAACGTGGATACTCACTTGGATCATCTTTATAGCAAATTCTTCTAAATATCGCGAAATAATAGGTACTAAAGATGGATACAGTTTATTCACTGAATCAAAGCAGGTACGTCACAACATCAAATAATGACAGTGACGCACATGGTTGACACATTAATTAAAACTACTGGATCCCAGGACTTTTTAGAAAATCTAACTTATATCTTCGATGTCGTACCGCAACCAACATCACGGAGCGTATGTTTTGTAAACGGTGGAGCTAGTATAAAAAAATATTTATTGAAAACGTGGATAATCACTTGGATCATATTTATAGCAAATTCTTCTAAATATCGCGAAATAATAGGTACTAAATATGGATACAGTTTATTCACTGAATCAAGGCAGGTAAGTCACAACATCAAATAATGACAGTGCGCATATGGTTGCCACATTAATTAAAACTACTGGATCCTAGGACGTTTTAGAAAATCTAATTTATATCTTCGATGCAGTATCGCAACCAACATTACGAAGCGTATGTTTTCTAAACGCTGGAGCTAGTATAAATTCTATTTACTACCTAATACGTATCTTACGGACTGAAAAGGCAATAATGAAGTTTCACGATCTCGTTCGGTCTCAAAATATTTCGTCAATGAATTAGCGAATTCTTTTGCTTGCCGACCCAGAGGTTTCGACATTTTATCAAAATGCTCGAAAGGACACCTCAAAGTTTTGAAAAAAACTGTTTTTTTAAAATAACAATGCAAATATTGAGGCAAAAACAACGAAAATAACCACAAATAAATAACTGCCGTTGGCGTAATTACTTGACAAACTTTGCGACAATGTCACAACAAAGAAAACTGTTACCAACATAAATTCAAACTATACGTACCAATTTAGGATCTTTTTTGCATTAAGGCTTCCTCATAACTTAATGCAACTAGTTCAGGTTTCGATGCATCTATCCAATTACAGTGCGTTTATCTTTGATTAATTGGTCCAAACGAAGAGTTTTGCAACGAATAAATGGTTGCTTAAAGAAGCATCGTAAATATTTAAAAGTTGCTATTTTGCAGTCATTAAAGTGTTGAAGGCAAAATAAGGTAATATGTAAGCAATCTGAGATCGACGTTTTGTGTTCGTTGAATTTAGATTGGCGTTGAGTTTATTCGGAAGACTTGCAGCCTTGAGTGCTGCATTCTTTGTTGCTATTTGCATTTTGTTGTTCTTCATGGTTGTAGTTAGAGATCATATCTTATAATAGTTAAAGAGAAGCAGGCTAAGGTTTCAAGTATTTTAGGTCGACAAAGTTGTTTTAAGAACGACTAAGAAACCTGTTTGTGAAATATCGAAAAATTTAATTTTCGAAAAAAATCAAAAACATACCATCTGAAAATTTCGATTGCTGCAAAAGTTTTTTCAGAGAATGTAAAAAATGAGGTCTTGAAAATATATTTTGACCCCGAGACACGACATTTTGAACGCTTATTGAAGTAAAAAGTGATATTTTCGTGTTTTGTTTTCTATCTGAAATAAATAAAGATTTTTCTAATTTTCTCAAAAACGAATCGACCGATTTTAAAAAATCAAGCGTCAAAATAAAGGACTTCAAAAGACCTGTCAAACAAGCTATCACTCGATACCCCTTGTCATTTAAAATTTTTAAGGGGATGACACTGGGGGCAGAGGGTGAAAGGAGGTGAAGTGGTTTTTGGTTAAAAAGTTGACCCCTTTGAAAAATCGTTTGACCTGTCTCGACGTTTCTTCTTTTAATCAGTGGTTTTCGATGAAAAAAAACTTAACCTCTCGATATACAGGGTGGCGCTTTAAATCAATAAGTATTCAAAACTACTGAACTGAAGCTCATGTATTTTACATCATTATAAAGGGAATTGAAAGACCTTGAAAATAAGGCATCACTCGACCCCCCTTTCCATTTAAGATTTTGGAGGTGGTGTCACCCCCGCTTAGGGCTAACGTGATTTTTTGCCATACCTGTGTCCCCCTCGAAAACAAAATCGACGGGTCTGAGCGTTTTTCAAAAAAAAACTGAGCTGCCAGTAAATGCGTCTGTTTCGTTTTCGATGCGCCACCCTGTATACATTTTATTCTCGTCATGAAATGGTCAGACTCACATAAACACCAAATTCGGTGTTTTCTGACACTTCGGCTGCTGCAAAGTTATAATTTACCAAGTATAAAGAATGTATCCATTATGAAGAAAAATAATTTTTGATTAAAGATATTTCAGTTTTTTTTCTGACTTACCGGAGCCGATGCGGTAAAGATCGAAATTATCGCTGGAGTAGTACAAAGTAGAAGCATCGCAATCCACATCTTCCCATTCAGCACAAATCTGATGATCCTGATCAAAAGCTGTGCCATTGGGACATAGGAATCGGAAGTCTTGAACCTGCAAAAAACGAATTTACATTCAAGTAGTTAATCCAACCAAGTTATAGAAATCTTCTAAAATAATCGAATTTTGTTTCAAACATTTGCCACATAAAGCATCATGGAGCTTCAGGTGCCAGTGTAGTTCATATTTTTTGCATGCATGATTATTCCTAAGATCTCAAAATTTCGCAATGACAGGAAACGGCTGCAAGATTCCAAGTGGCGGCAACGACAGTGTTCGACATTATGTACTTCAAAAACAAATTGGATGAACTCAAATTTTGAAGGTCCTACAGATGCATTTGCGTATACAGGGTGGCCCATCCATGTGTGGACGAAATATTACTCATAAACAAATACGTTTTGGCAAAATCTATTCATGGAATATTATAAACGACATTTGAGGGCACATTTCTAAAAAATATTGGCAATTATACAGGGTGTCCCAATGTCAACCTACAAATCAAAGTTGTGATTTTTTACATGGATTGCCTCAAATTTTATTGCTTATTTGGATAAACCAATTCAAAAGAAGAAGATTGATATAACATACTATGGGATTTTGGTAATTAGCTACTGAGATGTAAGGTGTTTTGTCTAGAAAAACCGTCCACTTCGGCAACCCCTCAATCCGCCATTTTGAAATTTGGAGTGCTGAATTTTGTATCGAAAAAAAATTACACACCTCAGCTTTTATCGTATTTGTCACTTTTTAGAATTTTCATTTTTGCTGATACAGGGTGGTCAAAAACGCGAATTGTACTTTTTCACAAAAATTTCAAATGCATCACCCTGTATATTTGCACAAGTTTGGATTCAATTTTTTATAAGTTTTTTTTTTTTTGGTATACGGTTTGATTCAGATAAAATCACTACATTTTGAGTTATTAAGTTTTTAGTAGAACAACACACCAAAATTAAGGAAAAAATCACATCATCCATGGAAATAAAAGACACTACTATAGGCTAGTTCCATATTGCCACTAAGCGTATAGATTTGACGTAAAAACTAATATCAGAACAGTATAAATCAAGCGTAATAGAGAAAACAACTATAACAACAACATAAACAAACAATTATCACTACCTAAGACGTAATCTACCAAAACTACTCAGCATGGATGGGCCACCCTGTATACTCAGAGACGTTAGAAGTATTACACAAGTAAATAATTTCTTCAACTTGATTTTTTAGCAATGAGGATAGTCTCCTCGCCATCATATCCCACTTGTTGATGGGTCTTAAATCCGGTGAAACATGTTTCTTGAATAATGTCCGTAATACGACGAGCAATGTGAGCCAACTCGAGGCATGGTGTTATGCTTAACAATAGTAAATGAAAGGGCAATAACTAAAAATATATGTACTATTCAGCTCTCAGAAACTGCTTTCTTCACAAAAAGAGATAACATTTTAACAAAGCTAAACAAAAACAAAGATAAAAGGTTGACATTACTGCCACAGAATGCTTTTAAGTAGGCATGTGATATTCTTGGAAATTTGGGAGTATATTGATGTCGATAGGACAACGGCAGCTAAAATATTTTCAATATGCTGGCACAAGTTGATGTCAACTTGCTTATTTTAAATTACTCAATATTCGGATTCTACATAAAATTCTAATAACATTGAATGTATAACCTCCTATACCCAAGTCTAACCGTTTTTGACATATTTCAAATTTTATGTCGAAAATGACGTTTGCTGGCCCTAAAATAATTGTTCAATTCCCTTATTGTTTAATGTGGATTGATTTTCTAGTAAACAGGGATATAGTTTAATAGACTTTGTATGATATTTCGATAATTATTTATACAGGGTGGTCAAAAAATTAGTATAAAACTTGAATGTCAAAAATTGTCAAAAGTCGATTTTTTTCAAATAAAAACCCCCTGTTTTTATAAGTTTATCGCGTCAAGCATTAAAAATTAGCGTAACTTTATACAAGGTTATCTATCACAAAAATGTATACTTTTCGAGTGATTTGCAATTTATTACTTTCCTATTGTAAAGCTCCTATAAGTACAGATTTAGTTTTTTAACTAGTTGGCTATGACGGCGGGTCGCGGAGAACAAACAATTGCGCTCTACAAAAACGTCACTTTATAAAAAAACTTCTGGGTGTATATTTATCTCCACTTTACTAGAAATAGATTTAATTTGACTCAATACTTTCCTCAAAATACATACCAGTAACATTCATACAAAGTAAATGTATATTGAAATTTTACTTTCTTACTTTCTTGCATGTAACGTACTTACCGATGCTAATGAGGAAACAATTTCAGAAAATTTATGGAACATATACCCATTCCCTAAATATTCTGATGCGTACATGCTATCAACATTCACTTTACAATTTTATTATTCGATAAAGTACAGATAGCAGCAAAGAAAGTCCACGGTAATTGCAGGTTAGATTTGATATTTATGCGATTCAAAAGTTGAATAGCCGTTGAAGTATTCGGGTTCACCTTCAATAGAATCCTTACGAAATATATGTGATGACTCTACTTTTTCTTTTATATTCAACCAGAAAGCTTACGTTCGTAAAGATATTTGGCTCATCAACCAAGTTCAAAGGCATCTGATTCACAATTGATCAGAAAGTTTCGATCATTAAACATTTTGTATTACTAAATACAGACAAAATAGTGAATGCCGAATATATACTATAAATCCGAACACCCAGTTTAAATGGTTTTATTTTAATAAAATTTTGTATAAGTACTTAATGAAGCATAATAAGTAAATGATAAAAATTTCAAAATGATTGCACTGCTTTAAAGCCCTTTGAGCTTTAATAATGTGTGGATGCACCCTGATGTGCTACGCATTCTCCAACGCGCCTAGGCATGCTTCTGATCAGGTGGTCAATGTTCTCCTGTGGTATCTCATTCCAGGCAACCACCAACTCCTCTCGAAGTGCTTCTAGAGTCTGAGGAGGACGTTGCAAATTGAGCAATCTCCTACCCATCATATCCCACACGTGCTCAATTGGGGATAAGTCGGGAGATCTTGGTGGCCATGGTAACAATGTGACATCATTATGTTGAAAGAAGTCTATTGTGACTCTTGCAACATGTGGTCGGGCATTATCTTGTTGGAAAGTTGGATCTGCCAGGGTGTCAAGATAGGGTAAAAGATGGGGTTCTAGAACTTCGTGGATATAACGCTGCGCGTTCATGTTACCTCTGATGAAAATTAAAGGTGACCTGGAACCATAAGCTATAACACCCCAAACCATAACTCCAACAGTGTGAAGAACATGTCTTTCAACAAAAAACTGTGGATTCCTCCTTTCACCACGTCGCCTTCTAACCCTGGCACGACCATCGTGCATGCCTAAACAAAATCGAGACTCGTTACTAAAGACAATACTGTTCCATTCCTGATCCCAGAGTGACCGTTGTCTGCACCACTCAAGGCGATTACGTCGGTGTCCCCCTTTAGGGAGGACCCAGTGTGGCCGGTATGAAAACAAGCCAAAACTTCTCATTCGTCGGTAAACACTTTGCATGCCAATAGGTCTTCCGTGTTTTGCAAACCATTCATTTGCAAATGGATCTGGTTGTGGAGAAACGGTCCCTTAAGGCCAATAATCTCAGGCGGCGATCTTCACGGTCTGTTGTTCTACGGCGGCGTCCAGAGCCCCTTGCTCTTTGCGTACGGCCTTCGCGAAACCATGCCTGACAACACCTAACCACAGTGTCTACACTTCTTTGCACTCTAACTGCAATTGCCCGAAAATAAGTCCGGCTTCCCGAAGTCCCACTATACGGCCCCTATCAAACTCACTAAGTTGACGAAATCGTACAGGTCTCCGTACTCTAGGCATCGTAACCAATCGTAAAGGATGTCAAGAACCAAAATCCGCCAACGTTGATTCTTTACTGCGGCTGAAATATTCATTTTTAGAGCGTTAGTGAATTAAAAAAAAGCAGTATAAAAACCGGAATGTCCAACTGATAAGGCTGAAAATTTTTTCACTTGTTATTTACAGTAAGATAAATACATTCGCCAACTTTTATTAAAATAAAACCATTTAAACTGGGTGTTCAGATTTATATGTCACTTAGTATATTTGGAACCCACACAAGAAGAATTGAGTTTGTCTAACATAAGTTCTTGCGAATTCTGGCTTATGAGGCATCATTGTCCATAATCACGATCATAGCTTCGTAATGGAACATTTCAAAATCTTACCTCCGGCCAAGAGAAGAGTATTCATTATCTGATTTAGGTTTTGCTGCGCAGAATATTGAACAATCAAATAGAGCGCTTTTACCTTTCATCGAAAATAAATATAAATTTACCGATAAGAGTGAATCCTAAGACACCATACATACTTCAATATTCCGTTTTGTAGAACTAATATTGGTTCAAACTCTCCACCGGTACGAATGCCAAGAAATCTGAACAACTATGGTAAGTTTGCTGATATTTTTGCTTGTGAAATGAAGAAATTCAAATACTTGATAAGACACAGAATGTCCTTCATTATTTTTTTTTCATTACTGAATTCTAAATATACAGTTTGCTTAACTTGCCCCCAAACTTCCATAACAACATACAGTAACACGCCGTATAAGCATAAAGCCAGCCAGAAGATACTGCTGCAACTAAATCTAAACGCAAGGCGGAAGGAATAAGTAGCATTCATAATACTATAAATATGAAATTATCTCCGTAGTAGGTAGACACCTTTTCTCGTATATCTCTCTGATGTTGCGTCGGGATGAGCTATAAAAACAGTGAAATGTACAGCCTACTACAAAATTGGCGCGTTAGGTAATCAGGATCGCAGAGATAATTCATTCACTATGTTAATTGCGACTATAACAAGCGTAGTTGCTTGATTTAGCATCACTTTAATCTGCGCGATGTCTAGTGTGGTCTTCTAGATTTATCGTATTTCTTGATCCGTTCCTCGTCTTTTAAGCAGGTGTTCTTAAACCTGGATTTGTAACTAAAATTTATTCATAGAAAATGATGTCGCGTAACGAGAATGTCCT